CCCCCCCCGGCAGTCTTCAAGCAGTGGCTGGGCAAACACTCGTCAGGGATGTTCTAGGCCAGGGGTGTCGAACTCATTTGTTATGAGGGCCGGATCTTACTTAACTGCCACTTTGTCAGGCTGGGTCATGTGTGCCATAAAATGTAACACAAGGTACCAGAGATATAAACTTTATAAAGATGATTTCAGATGCCAAATGCCAATATCAGGCATGATTGGATTAGGTGTGATATGCAGATAGGTGGAGATACCAGCATGGATAATGAGACAGGAAACCTAGGTCTCAATTTGGTGCAGGAGGATTTAGTCCAGGGGGATGCAAAGAATAAATGGAAAGAAGTCTGAAGAAGTGAGCCGTGACTCACGAAAGCACATACCCTACCACAATTTTGTTAGTCTGTAAAGGTGCTACTGGACTCTTACTCCTTCAAGTACCATTAGAAACCACAACATTAAAAACCAATGGGGGGGAACATTTTAACCTTCCGGGGCATTCAGTTGCTGACCTAAGAGTAGGAGTGCTCTTACAAAGGAATTACAAAGGGAGATTAGGAAGAGAGACTGCTGAATTGCAGCTGATCATGAAGCTCAAGACAATGCAAACTCCTGGACTGAATTGAGACCTAGGTTTCTTCTCTCATTACCAATTCCTGCTATTGTCATTCGGCATCTGAAATCACTTCACTCTCCAAGATATAAGGACAGATGGACTCAGGTTCCAGCTGTCTCTGAAGAAGTGAGCAGTGACTCATGAGAGCCCATGTCCTGCCACAAATTTTGCTAGTCATTAAGGTGCTGCTGTACCCTTGCTCCCTTTCACGAATATGAAATGCAAGCTGTACTGTTAGGCTTCTTCCCCCCATCTGTTAGAAATGGAAAGGGGGATTTCTCTAAGTGCCATGGGACTCCCTCCTCTCCTCTCTCTGGAGTGCTCTGGGTCTTCTTCGCCCCAAGGAAGAAGTGTGCTTGCCTACAAAAGCTTATACCTGGAATAAAATGTTTTTGGTCTTAAACACAGGAGACTCTCTCTCTCTCTCTTTCTTGAACCTGGAATAAAACGTGTTTGGTTTTAAACACAGGACTCTCTCTCTCTCTCTCTCTCTCTCTCTCTCTCTCTCTCTCTCTCTCTCTCTCTCTCTCTCTTTCTCTCTCGCTCTCTCTCTCTATCTCTATCTCTTTCCCTCCCTCTCTGTCTCTGAAGAAAAAAAAGTTTGCTTTCACACAAAAGCTTATACCTGGGATAAAACATTGCTGGTCTTCTTAAAAGCCCCATGAGAAGCCATTTCCCCCCCTCTCTCTGGCGCTTTCCCTCCCCCTCCCTCCCCAGAGGGGGGGAGGAGCCCTTAGCCAATCGAGGGAAGGCTTTCTTTCTCTCCTCTGCCAAGCAGGAAATAGGAGAGACTGGCCAAAAGGAGCTGCGATGCTGGAAGCAGGAAGCAGCACAGAGTCAGTTGTCCTTGGGCTGGACTGGAGGCTTGCAGAGGCTGGGTCCAGCCCACGGGCTGTATGTTTGACACCCCTAATCCAGCACTGAGCCAGGGGTTGGACTAGATGGCCTCCGCGGCCCCTTCCAATTCTATGATTCTGTGTTTCAGGGGGATATCGCCTGCTGTGCCGGAACGGCTCTCTATATATGGAACATCAGCGGGAAGCCCCTGGCCAAGCTAGACTCTGCCTGCGGCTCTGGCTCCACACTCTCCTGCTGCTGCTTCCTGACGGTGGCGGACTGGGACGTGCACGGCCTGATTGCCACGGGGGACACGGGTGGACACGTGCAGGTAGGACTTCCCCAGGGAAAGGCTCAGCCGCCAGGGGCCCCCTTGGCGTGCCTTTGAAGGGGTCTACTGGAGGCAAGAGGGCAGGTTCCCTGGGCAGTCTGCCAGAGGGAATTTCTTCTGTAGCTCAGGACCCCGGTGGCAGAACCACACTGAGAGGGCACCATTGAGGGGCACAAGCAAAGACCCCTTTCCTCACTACTCCAGGGCCAAACGACGGCTGCCACGGAGCTCCGGGGTGGGCTGCCACCCACAGGGACACACCCATGGGCCTCAGCCTGACTCAGACCCTCCTCAGTCCATCAGAGCCAGTTTTGTCTACCCAGACTGGCAACGGCTCTCCAGGGTCTCAAGCAGGGCCGGCTCACTCACTAGGTGAACTAGGCGATCGCCTGGAGCAGGCGGGCCCTTAGGGGCGCCAAACTGCACCCAGCCCCATACTCTGGGAGTTTCTTGATTATTTGTGTTTTTCATTCTTCCTAAAATGCATTTATTTTTGAAAAATGGTGGGCGCACCGGGGGGGGGGGGGGGGCCAGAAGGGATCCTCGCCTAGGGTGCAAAATAAGCTGGGGCCGGCCCTGGTCTCAGGCAGAGAAAGGGCTTTCACACCCCCTCCTGCCTGGTCCTTTTGAGCTGGAGATGCTGCCGCCGGGGGTTGAATCTGAGACCTTCCGTGTGCCAAGCAGAGGCTTTGCCACTGAGCCACAGCGCCTCCCCTTTTCAGTAACCTCTCAGTCACCCATCTCCTGAATCTCTTCTCCTCCAGGAGTAAAGCATTTGGGTGAGGAAGGCGGACAACTGGCTGGTAAGGAAAGGACGTCTCCCCAGTGTGGCGGAGGGAAGTGCTGTCAAAACACAGCTGACTTATGGCCGCCCCCCTTCGCATGTCCAAGGCAAGAGACGGACAGAGGTGGTTGGCCATTGCGTGCCTCTGCGTAACAGCCCTGGTCTCAGGCCCGTAGCTACGGTGGGGCTTTTGGGGGCTCCACCCCCTTCTTAAAGGCACAGCCCTACAAGCATTTCTCCTGCAAATGCTTTTTGCAGTCATTCTTTTTTTAAAAAAAATTTAAAGGCATGAGCTCCTTTAAGCAGAGAGGGTTGCTGTAGTTGACTAATTTGCGCACTGAGCAAGGAGGTTGGAGTAGGTGACCTCTAGGACGCCTTCTAACTCTGTGTCAAGAAACTGGTCTCCTTTTCTGCCTAAGCATTCGCTTTCTTGGCTACAGAAGTCATCACCCCCGCCTGCCGACTTGTTACCAGAATTGCTGCTTAAGCTGGCAGAAGTGATTAACTTGCAGCAGCTGAGAACTGTCATCTAGAGTGGTTGACAGCCGTGTTTCCAGAAGTGTGCTCATTCAGCCACACACCCACCTTTTGCTTCTTATTCTGTTTACCTTGTTTGTTGTCCAAACCCAGGGCTTTTTTTTGGAGCAGGGACTCTTTTGCATGTTAGGCCACACACCACTAATGTAGCCAATCCTAATGAGTTCCTGCTGTTGGGTGTGGCCTATTATGCTAATGAGGTTCCTGCTGGGCGTGACCAACTCGGATGCCAGCCGAAACTCCGTTCCTGTGCGTTCCTACCCCAAAAATAGCCCTGGATCTTTGGCAGGTCCCCTTTGCTAAGGAGGAAGCTTAACGGGATCTGGCGGAGACCGTCGGTTTGCAGGTCTCTGGCGGGGCAGGTCTGCCTCCATCCTGCCTAGGGGGAGGGAGGGAGCCTGGCCGGCGTGCCCCTCGATCAGCCTTTTCAGTCTGTTCTCTTCTGCTCCTGTAGGTCTGGAAGCTTGGGACTGCCTCACCTCAGCGCCTGGACGGCAGTTCAGACTCCCAGGAAAGCCTGGCAAAGAAGGGTAAGGGCAGCCTCTGCGGAAGCAGAATCCAAGTTCCAGTGAGACATGGGAGGGTGGATCTGGAAATGACAGGAAGCTCCTCCCTCCCCAGCAAAGCCCCTGCCCCTGCAGGCTCTGCAGGAGAGCAGACAGCCTCTGCGTTAGGGCAGCTGGCGGGCAGCCCTGCTTGGAGCTTTTAGAGGACCCAGCAGGAACTCAGGGAGCTTTCTTGGAAGGCGGGAGGAGAGGAGTGTGGCCCACGGGTGTTGAGTAAAGCTCTTCTGGCGACTGCAAGCGGGGCGTTCTTGCTCAGCCAGTCCTACCGGACAGGGCTGTGGTGTGGGCAGAATGGGGAAGAGTCTTGGACACAAAGCACCACACAGACAGGGAGGTTGTCGCCCTGCCTCCCCATCCCAGCCAGAGGGGCGTCTCTCAACCTGGCCTGGCCGTCTCAAAAACCTGGATTAAGCAATGGCCACTTTACAAGTCCGGATGCTCAAGTAACTTATGAAACAGATGCAAACAAGTAACTGGGGGAAGGTGGACCATTTACATGGGGAGATGGAAGGAGCTCCAAGTGCTGGACTTCCTTTGGAGGATCTGCCTTCCTGAGAAGGTTCCACCAACTCCTCTGTAGGAGGAGCTGGGGGGGGGCAGAAACATGGGGGGGCCTCAGCCAATGCTCCCTCTAAGCTGTGGAGACTTGTGAGCAAAAATTCTACTTTGTGAACTACTGGCGTTAAAGTTGTGAGTGAGTGATTTCGGCTGCTGCATAAATTGGTTTGCTCTGGGGCCATCCTTCCTGAGCTAAGACAAAAATGTGTGAGCCGGAGGCTAGAAAACTGTGAGCTAGCTCACACTAACTCAGCTTAGAGGGAACACTGGTCTCAGCATTACATGTGCCATGATGTCACTTCGGGGAAAACCCAGAAGTGATGTCGGGTAGACCTAGGAATTGCTGGAAACTCTATGGTAAAACCGTAGACTTTCCAGCAATTCCTAGAGCTACCTGATGTTTCCCCCAGAAATAATGCCACGGTGCACATAATGCCAAGTTTTTATTTTATTTCCCCCCTCCTTCTGCCCCTTTGCCATTTTGTCCTTCTCCCTGCGTTGGCTTGGGCTCTGCCCCCCCCCCCACTTGTCCAAACAGGCACCAGTCATCAAGAGCTTCCTCAGGAGATGTGAAGGCCTTCTTCCCCTGCAGCTTCCTTTGCGTGCACACATTTCACATCCGGTAGACGGAGATGGCTGGAATTCACCAGCAGAGTTCCCTCTAAGCTGAGTTAGTGTGAGCTAGCTCACAGGTTTTTAGCCTCCTGCTCAGAGATTTATGTCTTAGCTCAAGAAGGACGGGGCTCCAGAGCAAAACTAATGCATGCAGCAGCCAAATCGCTCGCTCACAACTTTTATGCCAGTAGCTCACGAAGTAGAATTTTTGCTCACAAGACTCCACAGCTTAGAGGGACCCCTGTTCACCAGCCTTTTAAATTGCTCACAGAACTTTTTGGTTACAAATGCCACGGAAGCCAGACGTCCAGCTGGTGCCCACAGACCGCAAATCCATGGGAAGGGAGTGTCTCACAGACTCCAGAAGCCAGCAGGGGGCCCTCCAGCGTCAGGATCTCTTCCGTGCGCGGCGCTGGTCCATCGCCCTGGGACTCTTCGTGCGGGTTCCCGGCCAACGGAACGGGGAGCAGCTGACGCAGCGGAGAGGGGGTGGGGATTCCAGCACGTAATAACATGTCAATAAATGGCCCCTGAGCTCAGCTCGGCTGCCTCACTGTCAATAAATGGCCCCTGAGCTCAGCTCAACTCTGCCTCGCAAATCCCGCCAGCAGCCTCGTTCGGGCATCCGCGGAGGTGGAAAGACCGGGGCATGCAATGAGGAGGAGGCATGATGTGCGCGCACCCACAGCTGCCCCTGCGCAAATGGGTTCTCTGTGCCCAAAAGCGTCCTCTGTGGCTCCATTGGGGGGCGTGCAATTTACTCAGGGCGCCGTTCACGAGGGCGCAGAAGCAGCCCCATGGCCTCTCTGCAGGTCGCCGCAGCCAAAGGCAGCCTGTCGCCCCCTGAACCCCCCTGACTTTCCAAGGACTCCCTCCTATCTCCACACTGCCGCAGGATTAACCCCGAAGGGGGGTCGTCCCAAGGTTTGGGGTGAGCAGGGTTCCCGTCAATGTTCCCTCTAAGCCGTGGGGTCTTGTGAGCAAAGATTCTACTTTGTGAGCTACTGGCATTAAAGTTGTGAGCGAGCGATTTGGATGCTGCATAGATTAGTTTGCTCTGGAGCCCTCCTTCCTGAGCTAGGACAAAAATGTGTGAGCTGGAGGCTAAAAAACTGTGAGCTAGCTCACACTAAGCTTAGAGGGAACACTGTTCCCGGTCTCTTGTTTTCCTTTGTGTTTGCAATGGCAGAGCAGATTCTGGGCATTTAATTAGCGCTCGTCATTCTGAGCGGGCTTAGGCAGGGCGCTGCTGGCAGGCAGGCCGGGCGCGGCGCAATTTGTTTCCTTCGCGGGCAATTAGGGGGCGGCGGCGGCGGCGGCGACGCGTCCTTCTGTCCCGGCGGCCGCGAGCTGTTCGGGGCCCGCTGATGAGCCCTTCTGCTGATCTCGGCACGCCGCGGAGAAAGCAATAAGCCGCAAATCCAATTTCGCCCGCGATGGAGGCGGCCGCGCGTCAGCACAGGGGAGGCCCCCCCGGCCCGCAAATGCAATTGGGACGGCCCCCGCTGGCAACGGCGCCCGCCGAGATTAAATATTATTTGTCCCCCGCTTAACAAGTTGCTGAGCGCGCATAATCGCATTTGCGCCCCCCCCCTCTAAAGCAGCCCCTTCCCCTGAATCTTCCCTTTCCACCCAAGCAGCAGGCGGCCGGGAGGAACCCCCGCTGCTTCTCCGTCGGGAGCTGGAGCGCAGCAGCGCGGCGTGCCCGTGGAACAGGCCCGGCAGGGCGGCGGCGCTCACCACCTTGGCCGTCTCCAGGTAAGCGGCTCCCGACGCGGTACCCGGCGCGGCCACGAGAGGGCGCCCCAGCCAAGAAGTTGGGGGCCTCCTCCGGGATTCCCTGGTGAACTGTTGGCACCGCCCAGACCTTGGGTTCTTCTCTGCATGCCGGCTGGCGCTCCGTCTTCCGGCGGCTGGGCGAACAGGCCTGCGCCAGGGAGTTCAGGCCGCACTGGAGGAGATGCCAGAACTTTGTGGGGTTGCCAATCTCCAGGAAGGACCTGGCAGCCTCCCAGGATTGGAACTGATCCCCAGATGGTAGAGGTCAGGTCCCCTGGAGAAAAACAGCTGCCTTGGCGGGGAGACTCTATGGCTTTGTGCCCCACTGAGCTTCTCCCCCTCCCCAAAGCCCTCCCAGGGCCAGTTTGGTGGAGTGGTTAGGAGCGCGGACTGTAATCTGGGAGAACCGGGTTTGATTCCCCACTCCCCCCCCCACTTGCAGCTGCTGGGGTGACCTTGGGTCAGTCACAAGTTCTCACAGAGCTGTTATCAGTCCTTGAAAGAGCGCTCTCAGCCCCAACTGCCTCACCAGGTGTCTGTTGTGGGGAGGGGGAGGGAAAAGGAGATGGTAAGCTGCTCTGAGACTCCTTCAGTTACTGAAAGGTGGGGTATAAATCCCATTTCTTCATTTTCTTCTTCCCTCCCCCAGCTTTGTCTCCAAAAATCTATAGGGGTTTCCCAACCTAGGCAGAAGGCACAACTTTTCCAACGCCTGAAGAAGAAGAAGAGATTGGATTTATACCCCACCTTTCACTAGGGGTCTCAGAGCGGCTTACAAACTCCTTTCCCTTTCCCTCCCCACAACAGACACCCTGTGAGGTGGGTGGGGCTGAGAGAACTCTTGACAGAAAGGGCTCTTTTTCAAGGACAGCTGTGCCAGAGCTTGTGACTGACCCAAGGTCACACCAGCAGGTGCAAGTGGAGGAGTGGGGAATCAAACCCGGTTTTCCCAGATTAGAGTCCGCGCACTTCACCACGACACCAAACTGGCTCTCGTTCTGATTTGAAGAATCTCCCTCAAGGAGGTCCCCCCCCCTTCCAGCCATTCTCTGATATCGGAATTGCATTTTCTTAGCATTGCCTACTCCAGGATGAGAAATGCCTGGAGATTTGGGGGTGGGGCTTGGAGAGGAAAGGGCCTCGGTGGGGTATAAAGCTGGGGCATGTGCCCTTGGGGGCTGTGGTTTTCTCCAGGGAAACTGACTTCTTGTCGTCTGGAGATCAGTTGTAATTCCAGGAGATCTCCAGGCCCCACCTTGAGCTTGGCAACGCTAGGGGCCAAAATACGCACCACTGAGTTTCCTCCAACAATCTCATGTGTGCTTTTGAGGGAAGAGGTCAACAAACTACTCTCGTCGGTTCACCAGACCACCTGCAGCCTGGATCCGTGCCCATCATGGCTAATTAAACCTGGCTGCAGTGGGTTGTGAGGGGGGCTAAGGGAGACTGTCAACAAGTCCCTCATTGAGAGACTGTTCCCTACTGCTCTAAAGGAGGCAGTGGTTCGCCCTCTCCTAAAAAAGCCATATCGGATCCGGCTGGAATTGGCTGATTACCGGCCAGTATCCAATTTGCCCTATTTGGGCAAATTAATTGAGAAAGTGGTGGCGAACCAGTTGCAGGGTTTTTTGGATGACGCCTCAATACTAGACCCCTTCCAGTCCAGCTTCCGGCCAGGCCACGGGACAGAGACGGTCCTGGTCGCCCTCACAGATGATCTCCGGAGGCATCTGGATCGAGGCGGTACGGCAGTGTTGGTGTCGTTGGACCTGTCGACGGCATTCAACACAGTCGGCCATCAACTACTGATCCGCCGTCTTGCCGACACGGGGATTCAGGGGCTTGCCTTGCAGTGACACTCCTCATTTCTCCAGGGTCGGGGACAGAGGGTGGCAGTCGGGGAACAGCTATCCGGAAGGCACCCACTAATCTGTGGAGTGCCCCAAGGAGCAGTGCTTTCCCCAATGCTGTTCAATATCTACATGTGCCCCCTTGCCCAGATTGCCCGGAGGCATGGGTTGGGTTGTCACTAGTATGCGGGTGACACCCAGCTCTATCTCTTGTTGGACGGCCTGTCAGACTCTAGTCTGGGAGATCTGGACTTGGCGTTGAAAGCTGTGGCTGGTTGGCTTAGACTCACCTGACTGAAATTGAATCCAACGAGGACAGAGGTCCTGTGCCTGAGTCGGATTGGCCCAAGGTTAGGGATCCCTCTCCCAACCTTCGATGGGGCGCCGTTGGTGCCAGCGCCAGAGGTTAGGACTTGGGAGTGCTCCTGGATGCCTCATTAACGATGAAGGCCCAGGTAGCAGCCACTGCGAGGTCTGCCTTTTACCATCTACGGCTGATTAAGCCGTTGGTTCCCTTCCTCGAACGCAATGACCTGGCAACAGTGATCCACGCTATGGTCACCTCGAGGCTGGACTACTGCAACACTCTCCACATGGGGCTGCCCTTGACCCAAATCCAGAAGCTGCAGCCAGTGCAGAATGCAGCGGTGAGACTGTTGTTGTGTTTTCCTGTGTGGGAGCACATCCAGCCCGCCCTAAAAGCACTGCACTGGCTGTCTATAGCATACCAGATTTGGTTCAAGGTGCTGGTTCTTACCTTTCAAGCCCTATATGGCCGGGGACCTGCTTACCTAAGGGACTGCCTCTCCCCACATGTTCCCCAGAGCGCACTAAGATCTGGATCCCAAAATCACCTGGTTCTCCTGGGCCCGAAAGAGGCCAGGTTGGCTACAACGAGGGCCAGGGCCTTTTCCGTGGCGGCCCCTTGCTGGTGGAATGAGCTCCCGGATGGCATCAGGGCCCTGCAGGACCTCTTGCAGTTCCTCAGGGCCTGCAAGACGGAGCTCTTCCATCAGGCTGTTGAGTAGGGTGCCGCCTCGACTCTATGGCCCCGACATCAACATCGCTACCAACCTGGCCGTAACATTAGCACCACCGACGGCTGGATGTCAAACAGCTTTGCAGGAGCCTGGGGGGCGGCCGTTCAGCCATCGCAGAATGTTGCCATCTTGTCATAACGCCAGGTGTTGTGGAACTGTGGTTTTATACTTACACTTATTTTAATGTTGTTCTATTGGAGTTTTAAATGTATATTTATATCCACGTCGTTAGCCGCTCTGAGCCCGCTGCGGCGGGGAGGGCGGGAGATAAAGTTAAGAAGTAAATCAATCGATAAATTGTGCCCAACAACAAAAAAAAGCAGTACGCTTATATCCGACTGTTGTCACCTGGGGCGGAGATAACATCCGTGTCAAAGACGATTTGCCAGTCAGACACTGTGAACAGAGCATAAACGGTGCTCAGAAAAGGGGCCCTCGGGTTCACCGAGGCCCAAGGAATGGTGGGCACTGCGGGCTGCCAGGGAGGGCCCGGGGCCCTCCTGGTTTGCAACTGATCTCCAGACTACGGAGACCCATTCCCCTGGGGGAAATGGCAGCCAGGGGCGGCCGCAGC